TATTTAGCAGAGGCTGATAAATCACAAAAAAGGAGGTGGATCTGTGTGATAAGATCTCCAAGGCCTGCCAAAGTGTCACCAAATAACAAGTATAGAGTGTGATTTCATACATATGAATAAAGTATATATACATACATATGCCTACATACGTACATACACACACGTAGTTTAGATATGTAAATGCATATGAAAGAACTGGAGGGATACATACCAAACTGACTGCTAATAATAGTTACCTTTGAGGATGGTACTGGGATCCCAGCAGAATGAATTTCATCTTTTATTCTATACACTTCTGCAGTATTTTACATTTGCAATAAAAAAAGTTTTAATGATTTTTTTTTAATGTTTAAAACCAATATACAGTCCATTTACCAAACATCATACTCTGGCCCCAGGAAAATCAGTTGACTTAAAAAGCATAATAGTAGTTAAGAGCATGGAGTTTAGATTTAAATCGAGGATCTGCCTTCTACCTGATGTGTGACTTTAGGTATGTTATTGAGTTTCCCTGTCTTAGGTTCTTCATCTGTAAAATAGGGACAATGATACTGATAGACTCTACATATTTGGTCATTGTGAGGATTAAATAAGTTAACATACATGAAGTACTTAGGTAAGTGCTGGACAGTAGAACTGTTAGCTATTATTATACAGGAAAACATAAGTTAAAAGTAATTTCATCATTAGATATATTCAGATGAACTTTTTGTTGCATATCCTTCCAATCTTTTTCCCCCCACTGGTTGTTAAATGACCTTTAATTAAAATACTTTCCTTTGTAGTTCTTAACTAGCTGGGCATTATACTGCACCACTGTTATGTCATCTATGATGTTGTGAGGATGGATACCATCAACATTGCAGCCCACAGACTAGGTAGACCCCAAGATCTCTTTAATGGTTCCAGAGAGTTCTCTAGCTAAAGATTGGTAACATTGGCAATCTCATCAAAAATGATATTTCCACTGTGCTTAATGTTTTGTTTTGTTTTTTTTGTTTTGCTTCTTTCTGTTTCTTGGTGGTTCTTTGAGGGCTTTGATGATCGGGACAGAGCCAGAAAGTACTGCCTCCATCTGGGCCTGACTGTTCTGAATGGTCAGTTTCACTGTAATCCAATTACCCGTTGCTTTAGCAATGTCATCACCAAGCTTTTTTGGAGACAGACCCAGGGGAGCTGATCTTGGGGGCCAGGGCAGATGCGGCACCAACTTCCTCACCTGTGCACCTCAGGTATATAACTTTGATCTCACGGTCCAACTTTGGCAGCGTGACGGAGGCAGCATGATGGAGGCAGCTGGTGTTGGGTGAACCCAGTTTTGGGTCGACCGAGGAAAGTTGCACCTTGGCCTCCAAGTTGAAAGCCCAATCTCTTGAAAAAAAAAACCCCTGTGCTTTTATACTTTTTTGCTTCACAAAAATGAGATTTTGTAACCCCTTTTCTCCCCTACTTAACATTTTCCCACAGTGTTAACTCATTTTCCATCATTTGTAAATGTTGCATTGTATTCCATTGTATGAATGTTTGATATTATTCAACAAGTCCTCTACTCTTGGATGTTGAATTTCCTCTCCTTTTTTTTCTCGTTTGTTATTATCGACAGTGCTGTGATGAACAAATGTTGTGGGGGGGGAAAATGGCCCATATATTTTGTAGTTCCTCCATTCAAGATGTAGAGTATATTTCTCCAACTCTGAATCTGGACTGGACTTGACCTTCTGAATTGTTTGGCCAAATAGGTACATTAGCAAATATAATATGATTCAAGCAGAGGCTTGAAAAGCGATCATGTACTGGGGCTTGTCTCATTTGTTGCTGGAAATCCTGAAACCACCATATGAAGAAGCCTGGACCAGCTTGTTGGAGGAGCGACCACATACAGACAGTACCCAGACATTCCAATTGAGGCCCAAACATGTAAATAAGGCCATTCAGCCAGATGTTAGACCAATCAGCTCTTGCTGAGCTGACCCAGACCTGATTGGTTCACCCAATCAAACCACTGAACAGAGAAATAATGTTTGCTATTTTAATCCACAAAGTTTGAGGAGGTTTGTTATGCAGAAAAAGCTAGTTGATACAAACATCCTATGGATAATGATTATTTTCTGGAACAATTTCTTTTTCTTTTTTTTTTTAAGATTTTTATTGGGGAATTGGGGGGATGGGAACAGTGCTGGGGAATTGGGGAAAGGGGAACAGACAAGTTGCTGTCTTTTTGTTCTTCAATCTAGTTGTGGAGGACGCTGCTTCACTGGCCCAAGTTGGCACCATCATTGCGCTCTTCCCTGGCGAGGCAGATCAGTCGCCGGCTTCTGGACGGCCGCTCACTGCGGCTGCTGGCCGCTCACGCTGGCTGCTGGCCACACACGGTAGCCCATGGCAACCCACTGCCACAGGGACTGCAGCCCACGCCGTCGCCTGCGACTGGAACAATTTCTTAAATTAGATTTTCTTGATCAAAGATTGTGTATACTTACACCTATTGATTCATATTACCAAAAAGCTTATTATCAATTTATAAGACACCAGCAATATATGAGAGTGTCCATTTCCTCATCTTTGTCAACATTGAACGTGAATGTTTCTTATTATCTTCATGACTACATTATTCTTGTAAATTTAACATATAAACCATTGTCCATTCCCTCTCAAATTGCAATCAATTTGGAGAAAAGAAATGATTACTCCTGTAGGAAAAGAAGAGCAGAAAAGGAAAATAATAGAATGAGAGATTAAAACAGAGTCAAAGGTTATAAACACAGAGGAAAGAAAATAGAGCTGAGCAACCTCCAACAGGGTACTTAACATGTAGTCAGGAATAGTTATGAGCCTAATAAATGATTTGGGTCATGAAAGAGGCATGGAAGGAAACTGTCCATTTAGGCCAAGCCTAGTTGAAACTGAGAACACAGTAAAAATAGGTACAGGCTCTTTCCTATGTGGCTGCACTTAATTCTCACAGCAATTCTCTGAGATAGGGATGACTGTTCCCATTTTACAGATGAAGAAAATTAAGGGTCAGAGATTTCAAGTAACTTGATGAAGATCATACAGCTGATAAAGAATTGAACCCAGATTTGAGTTCAGGTCTGTCTACCTTGAAAACTGTTATGTTTCTCCTTACTCTTCCAGAGATGATATGGCAGAAGACCAGCAATTATCATTGGGAGGTAGTATAGCCTTCTTTTGATTCATATTGCCAAACTACCCTCCAAAAAGGAGCCAGACCACTTGGATTTGAATCTCAGCTCTGCTACTTTCTAACTGTGCGACTCTTAGCCTCTCTATGCCTTACTTTCCTCATCTGCAAAGTGGCTTCATAAGTGCCATGAGGGTAAATGAGTACATAGATGTAAAGCACCTAGAACAGTGGATGGCCTATAGTAAAGTAATATATAAGCTTGCTATTTCCAGTATGGCATTGCAGCAGCCGAGGGACTGTATCTAATGAGCTTGTTGCCAGGAAGTCCTTATATAGTAGCTTTGGTTACACTCACATGGCCATGTTTTGGTGAAATTTCTCATGAGGCAGGACCAACCCTGCTGCCATGTTTCCCTTCATCCAGGATTGGGGGAAGAGGGGGAAGGGGTGAGTGTTATGATGCCGCATTGTCATCGGAGTAAACATAAACAACTCCAGAGACTTGTCCCAAGTGGATATCCCAAGGCCTTGCTGCTGCAGATCCAAGTATGGCTGGATGTGAAAGCTCCTTCCTCAGGGAACCCGACTAACCTATTGGGTTGTAGGAAAAGTCGTGATGTATTTTGTCTATATTTTTCAAAGGTAATTTATTTATATAAAGAACAAAGATCAATCAATTATATAGTGCCCGTTTTGTTTGATAACCTTTTGCCATCTTTCAGTGAGCTTCATAATTCCTCGTTCATAGAAGGACCTGTCTATTTGCGAAAAACTGAACAAGGTGCTGATTTACAGCCTCATCTGAACTGAACATTATACCACACAAGGAGTTTTGAAGAGAGCGAAACAAGTGGAAGTCTGATGGCGCAAGGTCAGGCAAGTGTGGTGGGTATGGCAACATATCCCACCCAAGTTCCAATAATTTTTGAGGGGTGATCAAACTTGTGTGTGGTTTCACGTTGTCGTAATGGAACACAACTTTACAATTAACAAGCTCTGGATGTTTCTGGATGATGGATTCGTTCAAACCGTCCAATTGCTGACAGTACACATTCAAATTGATTGTTTGGTTCCTTGTTAGGAGCTTGAAAAACACGACACCTTTAAAATCCCACCACACTGAGAGCATAACCTTCCCCTGATGAATGTCTTTCAATGTCATTTGAGGTGAATCATCACGTTGGGACCAAGACCATTTGCGCACCACATTGTTGTCCACTTCTCATCACCAGTTATCAGTCATTTCAAAAAAGGATCATTTTCCTCATGTTTAATGAGCATATTGCAGATGTTTATATGCGCTGTCAAATAAACTTCTTTGAGTTCATGCGGAACCCAAATATCGAGCTTGCTTATGTATCCCAGCTTCTTCAGGTGGTCGTGAACACTTGAATGATGGGTATTCAATGTTTCTGCAATCTCCTGTGTCATGTAACGTGGGTTTGACTCGATCAATGCCTTTATTTTGTTGTCATCAACCTCGGTGGGCCTCCCTGACCAAGGAACAGTCATTGAGATCAAAATGACCAGCACGGAATTTCGTGAACCATCGTTGGCACTGACGTTCTTGTAGAGCATTGTCACCGTAAACTTTATGCAACTTTTCACAAGCTTGATGCGCGTTCTTCCCTTTATGGAAGTAAAACAGTAAAATATGGCAAAAATGCACAGTTTGGTCTTCCATCTTCAACTTGTTGTAAAATCTCCAAAACTCAACCAAATTGCTCAATTTTTTTAGAATGAAGTTAGAACTGTTAGCTGTCAAATGACATAGCAATAGCATAGATGTGAATGACTCTAGTACTTCCAAAAATGAACTAGTGCCATCTGTCGCAAACATGCATTGTGACTTTTCTGACAACCCAATAGAACCTATCTGCCTCCTCTACTATTTGGGAAACAGAACAGGCTTTCTCCAACTTTTTAATTCTCATTTCTTCCTGTAGGAGTTTAACAATAACTGCAGCAACAACAACACTAATAGCATCTAATCCATTGAGTGCTGGTATGTGCCAGACACTGTCCTCAGCATTTCACAAGTATTGTTTAATTCTCACAACAATCCTTTGAAATAGGTATTATTCTTATTTCAATTTTACAAGTGAGGAAATTGAGTCTGAATCCAGAATCTTTCATCCTAACTATACACTGTTCTGTCTCCTGTTTGAGAACATGAAATTTTGGGGTGGAAAATGCCAAAGAAAGCAATCCAACATTTCTCAGCCTGATCTAGTCATCATCCACCCTTTCTCAGCCACAAGAGCATTCCATGTGAGAACCACTTGCAGCAAGATGTTTGAGAACTGAAGTGAGAATCAGGACATGGATTATGGATTTGCCACCACTCCAAACCTTCTCAGGTCCAATTCATGTACTGTGTTGGGGAGGAGCGTGGAGGATGAGGCACCTTTTTAAAATTGTGGTAAAAAAAACCAAAACCAACCAACCAAACAAGAAAACACTAGGCACTCTTCAGTATGGCAGACTGCAACACCCCCAGGCCTGACTAAGGAATGACAATATGGAAGGCAGATGGCAAATGCATAGATGCCACACTATTGCCTTTCAGTTAAATATTGCGTGGTTTTTTTTTTCTTTCTTGTAAACCTCCCAAATCAAATGGTTTGCTTTCCTCAAGTTAGAAGTGTTAGCATGTCTTTTCTTTAAATATCTGTGGATGGCTGTTTTTTTCCCTGCCAATTTGTCACCATCTGTAACCCTCCGTTTGTGAGATGATCTGATGACAACAATTATCTTTAAGAGTAAAAGTGCAGTCTTGGAGCAACATGTAAGAACAGAGTCAGTGTGGGCTGTGTGTGTGTGTGTGTGTGTTGTATGTATGTGGCATGTGTGTAGATTGTGTGTTGGGCTGGGAGCCTTGTGCAGGTATACACTGTGTGTGAGTAGGCAGTGTGTACATTTGGTGAGTGTCTTGCGTGTATATGGACTGTGTATTGGGTTGGGTGCTTGCCTGTGTACTTGGGTCTATGTGCTCTCTCTTTGTAGACATCGTGTGGACACCCTGTATGTGGGTCAACTCCTGGGCTGCTCTGTATGTGCTGGCTGAAAAGGGGCTGTGCGCATTGCTGGGGGATGTTCCTCACAAGGGCATAATTTCTCAGAAGTCTTTAAAGGGAATGGTAGGGGCCTGCAATTTGGGGGATTGGGTCAAGAAGTATCAGCAGGGTTTGGGTCTGGGTCAGAGGAACGTAAATTATGGGTGGCTTGCGAGAGGGTGCTGCTAGGATAGGGTGCTGACCCTAAAGAGGAGAGGGAGTCTCCCGCGTTTCTGGAGGGCTATTCGCTCAGACTGGGGCGTCAGGTTCGCGCAGCTCAGCAGGGCCGCCGGTTCCCGGAGTTAATGAGGTCTGGGCGTCTGGCGGATGGCGGGGAGCGGCTGGGGCGCTCCTCCCCCTCCCCCACTCCCCACCCTCAGGCGCGGCGCCGCGGGGGGCGGGAGGGCTCAGGCAGGCGGGGGCGGCGACGGCCGAAGTAGGGGCTGTGGCAGCGGCTGTGATGGCGGGCGGCGGGCCCGGGCCGGGGACAGAGGCCGCGGCCTCGGCGAGGGCCAGACTCTGGGAGCCCTAAGGTGCTGCCCGTCCTGACTTCACCATGAACGTCGCGTTGCAGGAGCTGGGCGGCGGTGGCAAAGTGAGTGGGGGCCCCGGGCTCCAGGACAGAGGCCCCCGGCGCGGGGGTGAGGCGGAGGGGCAGGAGGCATCGGGCAGGGTCTCCAGCTGGTGGAGCTGGGTCTGCATCCTTAAAGGGCGGGGCGTCGGAGGGACCCCAGGCCCGAGAGCCGGGTAAGAAGGAAGGGGCCTCGCTGCAGGCGGGAGGGGGGCCCTGCTCTCTCTTTCTGACTTGGGTTGGCGCCTCCGGTTGTTTGGCAGATGGTGGAGTACAAACGGTCCACGCTGCGGGATGAAGACGCACCCGAGACCCCCGTAGAGGGCGGGGCCTCCCCGGACGCCGTGGAGGTGGGCAAGGGGGTTCCCCCGTCCCCACCAGGCGCCAGCCCTGGCATGACGCCTGGCACACCCAGCAGGTCTGGGCTGCCCTGGAGGGTCACCTGTCCCCACCTCCACTCCATCTCTGGCCTCTGCGCTAGGACTATGGTGAGGGGATTCTAAGCCATGACGTTGCACAAAACAAGCTCAGGGATGAACTCAGCCTGCCTCATTGCCCTTGTGCCCAGAGCTAACCCCAGTAAGGTCTTTACTCTGTGGCTTTGGAAACAGCCTGTGCCTTCATCCTCTGGGAAGATTTCTGTGATCTTGGATCCCTCCTCCCCCCACCTACAGCTTGCTAGCTCTCCGTACCCCTGTGTTCCCCAGGTGGGATTCCAGAAGAGAACAAGACACCCCTTAGGCTTGCACACACAGCTGGAACTCATCTTGGCAGGTGTCTCTCTACTGCTGGCTGCACTGCTTCTGGGCTGCCTCGTGGCCCTGGGAGTCCAGTACCACAGAGGTAGGTGGGCCCATGCCTGTTATCTAGCTGTGGGGGCTCTAGAGGCTGAAGGGCTTCTAAGATATTCTTCAGTTGGGCCCACCTTTCCCCAGCTTTTCTTTCTCCTCCCAACCTTCCTGTTGTCATGGCCTCTCTCAAAGCATTTGCCTTTCCAAGACTGACAGCCCCCTATCTCTTGTGGTCATGTCCCCTGTCACAGATCCATCCCACAGCACCTGCCTCACAGAGGCCTGCATTCGAGTGGCTGGAAAAATCATGGAGTCCCTTGACCGTGGGGTGAGCCCCTGTGAGGACTTTTACCAATTCTCCTGTGGAGGCTGGATTAGGAGGAACCCCCTGCCCGACGGGCGTTCTCGCTGGAACACCTTCAATAGCCTCTGGGACCAGAACCAGGCCATACTGAAGCACTTACTTGGTGAGTGGGCCTGTCAGGGAGGCTTGTGCCAAGTACATGCCTCATGCCTAGGACAGGGCCTGGCACTTAGTAGGTACTCAATAAATGTCCACAAATGAATAATTAAGTGGATGACTGGGAATGCTCCTGGGGTAGGGGATGCATAGAGCAGGAGGCTCCTGAGAGGTGGAGATGGGTTTGAGAGGGGCAGACCTCTAAGTATAGTGGAGGGACTCCTCTCTGCATTCCACTTGGAGGACTGCTGAGGTGTGGTAGGCACCAGGGAGTCTGCATACTTAGAGATCTTTGCACCCTTATGGTTTGTGGACAGGAAAGGGGAAGCCACACTTTGCTGTTTCAGCCAGTCTTCCTGGGTCTACATTAGGAGGACTGCCCCTTGAGAATGCAAAGAGGGACCAAGCAAGAGCTTGGGACCCCTCCCATAGTTAGCATAGTTGTGACCCAGACCTGTATTCTATTCCACAGAAAACGCCACCTTTAATTCCAGCAGCGAAGCTGAGCGGAAGACACAACGCTTCTACCTATCCTGCCTACAGGTGGAGCGCATTGAGGAGCTGGGAGCCCAGCCGCTGGCAGACCTCATTGAAAAAGTAGAGCCCCTGGGTGGGCTGCGGGCGGGGGGAGCAGGATAGGCCTCGGAAGAAGATGTGGCCCCAGAAACCTTTGGAGGCCCCTGTGCCATAGGTTCCATTATGGTCTCTACTCAGATTGGTGGTTGGAATGTTACGGGGCCTTGGAACCAGGACAACTTCATGGAGGTGCTGAAGGCAGTAGCAGGGACCTACAGGGCCACCCCTTTCTTCACTGTCTACGTCGGTGCCGACTCTAAGAGTTCCAACAGCAATGTTATACAGGTACATACAGGGCTAGGGAAAGGTGAGGAGAGATTCGTGGATCATTTGTTGAACCCGGACTGCCCTCCCCTATGAGAGGCAGGCTGGGGTGGCCCCCCCTGCACAAGAGTCCAGATTTTGGTGGGGGGGGGCTTACTCCTTTGCCTTTCTATTGCAGGTGGACCAGGCTGGGCTATTTCTACCCTCTCGAGATTACTACCTAAACAGGACAGCCAATGAGAAAGTAAGTAGCAACCTCAGAACCCCCACCCCTGCACTGAGCTGGGCTGATCCCTGTTTACTTTTCCCTTTGCTCAGGGTCAGTGTGGGGAATGTGAGCTTGTCTGTCACCTAGTGAGCCCACTACCCTTCCTTCCTTTCTTCTCCCTTCATTTTTCCCTCCGTCTCTTCTTTCCTCCTTTCTTCCCTTCCCTTTCTTCCCTACCCCCTCCCTTCCTTCTTTCCTTCTTTTTCCCCTCCCTCCCTTCCTCTTATTTTTCCAGGAAAACATTTTATAGGCACCTACTATGTACCAGTGCAGTGCGGGAATTTTGAGATGTTTGTTTCAGAGTCACTGTTATAGGAAGCTCTTAGTGTAGGTGGGATCACGGACCTAGATATCTGAGAATAAGGCTCAAAGAAGGTCTCTGGGACTCAGGAGAGACTCAGGTAGCTGGAGAAAACATCCTGATGAGATTGCATTGGAGCTAGACCCTGTAGACTATCTAGGGGTGGATGATGGTATGCTGGGTAAAGAGAATAGTTTAAACAAAAGTGTTGAAGAAGGAAAAGCTAAGATGTGTTTGCATTATGGGAAGGGCTCCAGTTTGGCAAAATGTAGAGCTCAAAGCCACTGAGAGTCTGGAAATGTGGGTAGGGTCTAGTTTAGTCTGGAAAGGCACATTAAGGAGTTTATTTGTTTGTTTGTTTTTAAAGACTTTATTGGGGAATTGGGGAAGGGGAACAGTGTTGGGGAATTTGGGAAAGGGAACAGCCAAGTTGTTGTCCTTCAGTCTCAGTTGTGGAGGGCGCAGCTAGCTCAGCTCCAAGTCCAGTCACCATCCAGCCTCCCGTCAGCAGCTCGCCGCCGCTCAGCTCAAGGTGTCGTGTTCAGTCTTTTTCTGTTATTTATTTATTTTGGGGGGGGGGAATTGGGGGAAGGGGAACAGACAAGTTGCTGTCCTTTTGTTCTTCA